ACCCCCATCAGACATGACTGGGTGTGTGTGAGGGGACGGCACCCCCCGTCAGACATGACTGGATGTGTGTGAGGGGACGAGACCCCCGTCAGACATGACTGGGTGTGTGTGAGGGGACGGCACCCCCCGTCAGACATGACTGGATGTGTGTGAGGGGACGAGACCCCCATCAGACATGACTGGATGTGTGTGAGGGAACGAGACCCCCATCAGACATGACTGGATGTGTGTTAGGGGACGACACCCCCATCAGACATGACTGGATGTGTGTGAGGGGACGGCACCCCCGTCAGACATGACGGTGAGGTCTGGTGACAGCTCCCTGGCCCTGGGAGGAGTTCGCTCCCTCATGATCTCTTTGGGGATGTGGGTTTTCCCTTGCTGCAGTCACCAGATCCCAGAAACCTGAAGAGAAACTGCCCTATTTCAGAAAACAGGGATGGGGGGAGCCCAGGAATATCCACGGGAGTCGAAAGCACCCAGGCCATGGTATAAAAATGGAGGACGTGGAGTCTCCCTCACAGGGTGATAGATGAAGCCCAATGTGTTGTTGACAAGAAATATTACAGGGTAGATCAATGACTGGAAATGTTAGGAGACATGCCTACCTTATTACAGCTGTCCTGAGTAATGAGCGGGTCTGCCGTATGCACAGGTGTTTACATGAGCTTCTCCGTATTTCTTTTCCAGTCATGCTCCCATCTCCTGGCTGGGATCAGGGCCCCTTGCACCAGGCACTGTGCACACAGAGACCTAGATACAGTCCATGCTTTACTGATCTAATTAAAATTAATAGGAGAGAATTTCATTATGCCCATTTGACAGATGGGGAACCGAGGCAGAGAATGGCTACAGGTCTTGCAACACTGTGTCCTGTCCAGGATGCTCTTGAAGAAGTCCTGTTCAGCTGCTTCAAGCCCAGGGAGGTGATGGGGAAGGCTCCCCATGGGTCCTCTCTGATTTTCGGGTGCTGGCGAGGCAGCCAAGCAGCCAGTGACAAATTAACACCACAAACACGTAGCCAAGTGATCCCAGGTGTTGCAGGATCCATACCTTTGCTTTCCCTGATGCTTTTGTGGTCTAATCCTGGCTCTCTGGTGTGTTGGGTGTCGAGGAAACTCTGAATTTGGCTCCTTTGAAGAGGGGTTGCAAAGAGGATGGAGCTGGGCTGTTCTCAGTGAGGGCAGATGACAGGACAAGGAGCAATGGGCGCAAGCTGCAGCAAGGCCACCTGATAGGTGTGCTACACGCCAGACAGGGCAGGTTTGCACCGTAGCCTCACATATCTCTGATTTATTGCAGGCCCTCACGTTCCTGACCAAGAAGGAAATTATACGGTGAGTTCATTCCCAAGCTTTTTTCCTTTTCCTCCAGCCTGAGCAAGGCCCTGTGGCAGAAATGCCCCCGTCGGTGCCCCTCTCCAGAGATCTGTCTCAGCCAGCCTGGGAGGCTGGTGTTGAATCCCTCACAGTGGGGATCTCCCATCTTGTCTACATGACAAAAGCCTGGCGCCTGGGAGGCGATGCTCTGGTCACCTGGGCAGGGGGGGGAAGACCCGGCCCTGC